CATTTCAATACACAAAGTTAAATAGAAAAATATATTCCATTGATATTTGTATGAAGGATTATAATCATTTTATAAAATTATATCTAAGTAATATCTATATATATATAGAGTAAGTTTAATTGGAAATAAAAATATACGTAAAATAAATATGTTATTGATTTAAAATTTTATTTCAATTATTAAAATATCAAATAGTACGATAACGAATTTTTTCTTATATTTAAATAATTAATGTCTTGGATAATTAGACTCAATATCGATAAATGAAAATAATAATTGTTAGCTTGGTGAAAATTATTTGTTATAATGCAAATAAACGAAACTAATATTTTCGTAATAATACACATATATATATATATATATATATATATAATTTAACAAGAAAACGGTTCGGTTTTAATAATAACGCGAATTGTATCTCGAAACAGGATTTTAAATGGAAATTAATTAAACGGACAAAAATGACGAACACGCGAATGTTAAATATTTCCTCGAAAACGTTATTAAATGATACCAAGCTCGGAAACAACGATGTAAAAGTCTAGCAAAGGAATGTAGAAAATGTCGTCGAGGGTGAAAACATCCGAAGCGAATATGTGCTCTTCTCCCAAGTAGGGAAGGGAAAAAAGGTGAAATGGTGGATGGGTGGGTGGAAGGGAGGTAGGGGGGCCGGGGTAGTTGAAAAATATTCCAACTCCTAACAGCGGCAAATTTCAAAGTTACACGCGCGTGACGATGCCAACTGAAAGAATTTTATTTCGATTTCGAATCGTCTCGTAGATATTTGTTTTGGTCGTGAACGAAAGAAAAAAAAAAAAAATAAAAAGGGAGAGAGAAGTAAGAAAGAAGAACTACGACGTTTGAAATTAATTCGAAAAGAAACAAAAATGAACATTTCTATGATACAAGTGGCCCTGTCAAATTATATTTATCAAACGTTTTCGAATTGATTTGTAAACGATAAACCTTCCATTGAAATTGAAAATAAATCAAAGTATACATATTCTCGTTATGTTTCCACACCCTAACCTCCCCTATTATCATTTTATATTCTATAGGTGTTTGATGTTCCTTGTTTTTTTTTTTTGTTTTTTCGTTTAACTATCGTTCGCGTCAATCATTCGTTCAATCACGTCGGGGGCTAATAATAAGTTTAATAATATGAAATTGTATCGACAAAAATTCGCGAATTGGATAAACCCAATTGAAGATTTATTCGAACACACTGGTGTAAGCACAGTACGCGCTTATTCATAGCTTTCTTTTGCCAATATGTACGCACCCTAGGTAAAACCATACAATGATAAACATACAGAAACAAAGAGAGAGAGAGAGAGAGAGAGAGTAAGAGAGAATAGGAGAGGTCGTGCAAGTTCGTACGAACGAACGCACACGCAACCGAGTAAAAGCCACGAAAGCTCGGTAACGGATACGCGGTGGTTGTACTTTCCGGCGTGGTTAAACGAACATTCGTTCGTTATACCTGCGTTACACGCGTTGCCGCTTATGGTTGGATATACATTTTCTGCATTTGGGTTTGCGAAAACTAACACATATCGGTAAAGCATAATAATAGAGAAATCATTATTACTATTCACCTATTTTCTCTACAATGATCAAATTCTTTATTATATTCGTTGAAAAAAGAAGAAATTGTATAACTTGTTATTTTATTAATTTATATGTTATGTGTAATTTGTAATTTTTATTATTAGTGAGAACGAAGACATATCGTAAAACCATAATAATAGAGAAATCATAATTACAAATCACCTATTTACTACAAGGATCAAAATCCTTATCATTTCCATTAGGAAAATGAAAAATTGCATAATTTGTAATATAGGGTTCGTGAGAACGAACATAGATTGACGAAGCATAATAATAGAGAAATTATTACAATTCATCTATAAACTACAATAATCAAATTATCCATTAAAAAAATGAAAAATGTTATAATTTGTAATTTAACGTTTGTGATAACGAACATAGATAGTCGAAGTATAATAATAATAATAATAATAATCATTATTACAATTTACCTATACTCTCTAGAAATGTCACGCATAAATATAGGCATATCATTTCATACATCTTCGATAAAGTAGAAATCATATTTTTCGTTTGAAAAGTTTTCCATGTAAATAATTGCACTTGAACGGGCACGCGATTAATAATATTAAATAATTTACATAGAAGAGAACTTTTCAAAAATATCTTATCGGTAAGTGGCACTCAAAAACAACAAAGTGTTTCTTATCACTTAGGCCACTGTACTTTTACCAACATTTGCATAAATAATTACAAAGTACAAACTTATAAAATTTTATCGTGACTGTAGAATGAATAAAAAAAAAAAAAAAAGTCTCTCAAGAACGATACTTTCAAACGGATCGATCCAGCATACATTTCCTGTCTCGCCTATTTTTCTTCTTTTACTTTTATTATTCTCACACTTGAAAACAGTCGCGTAACAAACACATATATACATACATCCATACATACTTTAAGTAGTCACGTTTTAGAAAATATCCGAGAATCTTTACCAGGTAAGGAAAAGTGTAAACGTCAGAGTCACGAAGTTAACGTTCTAAACGTTATGCCATTGGCTGTGGCGCATAGCTTGCATTCATTTACATACGTGTGGTTCTGTGTTAGACAAGTATAGTACCGTTTACGTATATATTGGTACGAAAAGAGTGAATGCACGTTCTCTCTAAATAGAGAATAGGCAAGTGCAAAAGAGAAGAAAGAGGATGGGAACAAAAGAGAGAGAGAGGGTTCAGGTGTGTGTGTGTGTGTGTATAGGTGATGAGTCTTTAAGGGTGGTCAAGGCTTCGCGTGACCTCTTTACGCGTCATCACCAGTATACACCTCTTTGTTTCTAGTGTTCTAGATCGTTTACCAAGCTACCATAGAATTTCACTCGCAATCATCGAAACTGCTTTAGGATTTCTATTTCTCCTCTCATATCGCACACACATACGTACACCCACACAAAGATATTCACTTTTCTCTCTCTCTCTCTCTCTCTCTCTTTCGTATAAGCGATGACGATTTCGATGTTATACGATTCGATATACGATATCCAGATCGAAACATTGGAAATTTTGGAAATACGTCGAATTCCGATCATACCGAGCAAATCATCCCCCTCATTTTCTCTCCCCCTAAACCCTTAACGTAGTCGTAGGTCGACCATCACCCTCCACCCCTCTCTCTTGTACTTACTACTTGGCACCGTAGGCACCATCGGAACACTACAGAGAAAATCGATAATCGGTAATGTTTAGCGGCCGTTGAACCGAATACTACCTACCCTCTTGAGAAATTTCAATGTAATCGAGTTCAATATCTATCACCGACGCGTTCGGCTAATTTGCGTATATATTGAGGGGTTAAGCATAATAAAGTGGGAAACCGGTGCGCAACCACCGTAACTTAAAGAATCGCGTTGCGAGATCGCACAAATTTAAAATTATAATTTTATTTCGTAGAAACGTTAACGCGTTACCTTTCAAATTTCCGTAACATTATCTGTCACTCTCCTCGCGTATCGAGTAGTTATTATTATTATTATTATTATTATTATCATCAACGATGATTAATATTTTCTATTAAATATAACGTTAGCACGGTATTATAATATACTTTCTTTCTTATTTTCTTTCGAAACCTTCCTAACCCTCCCCCCACCGCTTTCCAAACTCCGACTCCGGTTAAAATTTATCGAAATACGTTTATAATATTATTATTTTCTATCGAAAATCGCGAATGACATGATTCTCTATCGTTATTGCATTACAGTCACTTTTAATTATAACTACAGTTAATATGTTGAAACAACGTTGAGAACGTATATACATAGAATATACTATCTATGCCGCCGTTCATTTAACTTGTAATAACGAACTGAAATTTAATAAAAAATCAAGAGAAAATAATTATTAATTATTAATTACACCATTCTCTTTCGCGTATGATACGTACATACGTGTATGCATAAATGCATAAATGAATACGTTTATACATTGGCAACGTTCTGACAAAAATTGTATATTTCGAACGATATTAAATAATTCGTTCTTTTACACAAATAAGCTTAACGTAAATTCGATTAGTAAACGAACCGTCGTTGTATTTCATTTATTTTTCTTTTTTCTTCTCTTTTTTCATATACATATTTATATTTTTTTTTTTTTTTCATGTTCTTCTTCTTCTTTTTTTACTATCCTTTGAGATTAATTTCTCAATTTTCCTCATTAGGAAGAAAATGTTATTACTGTCGTGCCTTACAAACGACCAACGTCGAGTCTCTACTTCAAACGAGTTTATAATGGAAACGACTAACGTTTTTATTAAATATCTACGAAAGAGAAAGCTCTTTTCTATAATGGCAGAGTAGTAAACTATAACTATCGAACCAAGTAGGAGGTTCCTTTCGACTAGGAAGACTGTTGACCCGTTAACGTCAAACTCTGCTTTATAGAACCTGTAACTTTTCTATTTACCTACTCTCCACGGACGATAGACGCCGTCTACTTTTATATTTCTTACAATGATATAAGAAATTCAATGAAAATTTTCAATGATTTTTCAATGATCCCAAATTGAAAGGATAATCTTTATTGGAAATTTTGTAGAATTGTTTTTTTTTCAAAATATTTCACATCGCGAAGAACAAATATTTCTTTTCTATTTGTATATAAAAAATGATATTATATGTATATAATTATTATTATATATATTATTGGATTCTTTAGAGAATATATATAATTTCGTTAATAAATATTTATATATTTTCTTGTATAAAATTATATTTTATATACAATTATTATATATAATGTGTAATATAAATTATATATACAGAGATTTTCCTCATTAGTCACGTTTATTAATATCTAACATTACTCTAAATCTCCAAATCATTATAAATTATAACAAGATCATTTTTAGGCACGATTTAAAAGTTTCGTATAAAAAAAAATGGTACATTTCAGGTGACAAAATGGACGCGGAAGCAGCCCTACTCGAAAATTCGCCGACATTGTCAACGATCTCATCAGATTTGACAGAAGCGACATATTCTGTACCGGGTTCGCCCTATTCAACAGAATCTCCGATCATCGTGACATCATCGTATAGAAAGACACATGCCGATGATGAAACGACAGTTAAACCGACACCAAGGTTTTCACAGGCCACCAGGAAGCCTAATTTTCGGATACGACCGCCCTACCTCATGATATGCATCAGTATCATAGAGGTATTGTAACGTAAACGTTTCTTTTCCGATTAATACGACTCGACATTTTTTATATAAACAATTTTTTCCCTTTTCATTTGCAAAGGAAATAACACAAGTAGAAGGGTTTAACATTGAAGACATTTTTCAACTCTCACCGTGAAATAGGATTTAAACTTTTCAACCCATTTGTGTATATGTGACATTAGCCCCGAAAAAAATAAAAAACAAAAAAAAAGATTCACCTTGCCAACACACGGAGGGTTTAAATTTACGATTTAAGATTTATATGATGTTACAAAAGAGATTTGAAAACAAAAACAAAAAATATACTCGCGACACAAGTGAGATAAATTTGATGATATAAAAGGAAGATAATATCTTTGATAAATAAAAATAAAGTAAAGAGAGAGAGAGAGAGAGAAAAAGATTATAAAAGAAGCTTTGGACGTTTGAAAAGCGCCCATTCACGAGAAACTATCGGAAAAGAAAGTTGCAAAGAGCTTAGACGGCGAATCCTCGTGGTTCAAAACGTGTATATATAGTGATGCCTAAGAAGAACGGATTCATGGCTTGAAGATTTTACATGGTTTGACTTTGGTCCTCATGCGAGAAAGACGTTTAACGAGAAAACGTCGCGCGTTAACTCGGATAAGAAGTTTACATCTTTTTCATCGTTAATGAAAGCCGTCGCGTTAAAGCGAATGAAGAACTTGTGGATCTCTCTCTCTCTTTCTCTCTCTCTCTTTCTCTCTCTTTCTCTCTCTTTCTTCTCTCTTCTCTTCTTCGTAGTTAACAAAACTTGTCGCGTTAAATAAAGTAGGAGGAAGTTCGTGTTTCTCAGTTAAAACCTTTTCTTCTCATTTTCTTCTTCTTCTTCTTTTTTTTGTTTTCTTTTCTTTCTTTCTTTATCTTTATATTTTGTCTTCTAATTAGATTTTTATTTTTATTTTTACACGTTAAATGATATACAAACGGACAAATTCAATTTAAATCGTTCGAACTCGAATCTATCGTTAGACGAATTTTAAGATTCTTCGTTAATTTTATTTACCTAACTTCTTTTACTTTTCTAATTTTTTATATTATTATTGTTGTTGTTTTTTTTCTTTTTTAATCTTTCCCCCCCCCCCCCAAGTAATAAGAAAACTGAAATAGAAAAAAAGAAA